GACGCATACTTAGCGCTGCAACTAAAAAGAAAAGAGGAAAAGAAAGAAAACGGCTCCGAAGAGTTCCAGTCCATAATCGTCACAATGAAGGATGATAGTGACCACTCAACAAACTGGCTCCTGGACTGTATTAACAAAGTCATCACCAGTCAACCACCGTACGAAATAGCAGTCTGGAAACACGACGTAGAAGAAGGACACAAGCTCTCGCGCCAATACGACTGGGACGAGGTGCCGAGCGAGAACCCGAATATACACTATCATATAATCTTCGGAGGTAAACTAACCAGCCAGCTGAGAGACTGTAACAAGTGGAAGACACTCAGAACACAGCTCAAAATGATAACAACATCGTTCAAGAGTATGCTCCTATATCAACCCAGAGCGATGGTCTGCTACTGTAAGCTACCCGGAAAAGAACTCATCATGCTAACACCGGTGAAAGGGATACTCAGCGAAATGATAGATAGCATCAAGCAAGAGGAAGTCAAGGAAATGAATCAAAAGAAGTTCGTCGAACGGAAAAGCAAGGAGATGATCAGAGCACGAGGCGAATCGACAGCGAACATGTATGTACAGGCGCTTATAAAGATTATTAACAAAAACAACTACGGAACGAGCGAAGAAGTTCTAGAAAGCGTTATGGAAGCAGCGAAAGATAGAACAAGGTACGTGGTTAGACAAAGAAGAATGGCTAGAGCAGCAGAAAAAGAAAAAAGAAGAAAAAAAAGAAGGTGGCTCGATAGAGTTCCAGTCAATCATCGTTACCCTACGCGAGGACAGCGTGCACGAGCAAAACAATCTAATCAATAACATCAACCGTATTGTCACGAGTCAGCCACCATATGAAATCGCGGTTTGGCGTCACGACGTGGATGAAGGCCATCGCATTTCAAGATCACTAGACTGGGACGAGGTGCCGTCAGAAAATGCAAATGTTCACTACCACATCATATTCGGTGGTGAACTAACAACGCAGCTGCGAGACTGCAATAAATGGAAGACCTTGAGAACCCAGCTGAAGATGGTAACAGCAACATTCAAAAGCATGTTGTTGTACCAGCCTCGGGCGATGGTCTGCTACTGTAAGCTGCCAGGAAAAGAACTATGCATGCTAACCCAGGCATCCTCAGTAACATGATCGACAGCGTCACCGACGACGAGATAAAAGACATGAACATAAAGAAATTCGAAGAACGCAAGAACAAGGAGATGATCCGCGCCCGCGGCGAAAGTACGGCAAACATGTACGTACAAGCATTAATTCGTATTATCGAAGAGCAAAACTTTGGAACCAGCGAGGAAGTATTAGACTTCCTCGGCAAGCACTATAAAGCTAATATAAACCAAGAAATGCTGTCGCCGTACGATATATCGCTAAAGAACTTGTATACCGACACAATGAGGAGAGAAAAGATTATCGCAAATGCAATCGCATTAACAAACGTCGGCAATAGAAATAAAACCTTATGGAATATGATTGCAGACTACCGGATTCCACAAGCGGACAACCTAAAGTACCATTCGATTACGAAGTCGGCGGATCTGTTGATGACCTTACTCCTAACCTGGCTAGGTACAGCGTCGGCAGTCAAAGGCTTTTTGCAAGATATAGAGCGATGGTATGACAGGTCCAACGGAAAAATCAACACGGTGTGGATCAAAGGACCGCCCAACTCTGGAAAAACGATATTCTCCAATATAATAACCGATATAGGAAAGGACGTGGGGGTTCTCCATTCGGGTGATGCCACGCCCTTCCAATTCATGTCATGTGTCGGCAAGAGAATCCTCTACGGCAACGAATTTTCAATGAACATCGAAACCAAAGAAATTTTCAAATTAATACTCGAAGGCCAACGTACAAAAATCAAGGTGAAGATGCTAGGCGATCAGGTACTGCAAGGAACGCCTGTGCTACTATGCAGCAACAACGACATCATCCGCGACGACAGCACGATATCGCTCGACGACAAGCTGGCATTCGATGCCAGGATGATCAAAATTACGGCAAAGAAAATCGCAGACCCCAAATGGTTAGAAGCGTTCGGCACCAATAAGCAATTCGATTGCAGAGCTCTAAGCGTCGTGGCGAATATATTCGGTGCAAACGAAGATCAGATCATCGATACATACGATCCCATGGAAACCTACGATTGGTTCTACTCGGCATTCACAGATCCAAAACATGTCAGAAACATACTAGATCAACTAGAGGCATGCAACGCTCCAATGGTAGGACGAAACGCCATGATGCAACGACTATCCCTCTGCCAATGGAGAAAGAAACATGAGTCGCTTCTAATCAAACAATGCGCCTATTGGGCCCAATGGGAACATGTCATGGACAAGCATTACAAAGATCTGCATGGAGCACTATGGGTTGGAATCAAACACGAAGGCATGTACATCCGCGAAGACTCAGACATCGAAGAAGACGACAGCGATAAAGAAAGATGTCCAAATACCCAACCAATATAATAAGATCCGAGAGATGGCGCTGTAATGTTGAAAATAAAAACATCGTAATATTTAACCACTTGTTCCTCGTTATATACCGCAGTATGTCTCCACCAACATTCAGACGCAACTTAAACTGGTACAACGACTATCGACAACAGTTCACATTACCACGCGGACGAAATCCAAATCAAAGTGGCGAGTTCAATAGGGGCTGGCATAGCTACCTCAGAGACAGACTCAGACAACAAGTAGACGAACACGGTGAAACATTTAACGACGAAACAAGAGACTTCCTCAGACGAGGAAATACAGATCCACCACATAGAAATGTATACAACTGGCTCCGAAATTTCCAACAAAGAGGCATGGATCTCGCACACCGAAATCCAGGCAGACAATTAGGTATACCACAAGCATTACAACGAGGAGGCGCAGCAGTTGCACTACAAGCGGCCGCACAAGAATCAGCGCGTGTCGTACTGTACAATACCGAAGTCAGAAATCAACTCCAACAAGGGGTACAAAACGCAGCACGCAGTGCATATAATAGAGGGCGTGAAATAGTACAAGGATCCAGAAGCAGTAGAGAAGTTGGTGAACCAGCTCCACAGAGACGCAGAGAAAACGAAGAACCGGCAACGGCAAGAACCTTCTAAACACCGTCGACGGGAAGAGAGACAAACGCAGCATAGCCGCCACAGGTAATGACGCAGCTAAATCAACGGGTGCACGACAAAGACCATGGAACACACAACAACCAAACGTGAAAACAATAACGTTCGAAAGAACATATCATCACTCAATGACATCAGTAAATCAATCTACAACACTAGTACGATGGACAAACGTCAAGAAAGGACAATCAGCATTCCTACAAATGGACATAGGAGCGAAACAACTACCATACACCGACCCAATGAGCACACTCGTCGCAGACAACGTACAATTCCTAGGACTACAAGATGGATTCAGACCAGTACACTTCGGAGCAACAATGTTCAACATAGTAGCCTTCGGCAACAATCTAACAACCGTAGCAGGACAGTCGACACCAAACATAAACATCAACATATCACCAACAGTAATATACTACAAAGACCTAACAGGATCGATGGGCAAGATAACACACCTGACGGCCAACAACCTAAACCTACCGAACGAAAACATGCAAGTATACAACACACCCAACAACGGACACCATGAGAAGGGAGAAGATAATCCAGAACGCGATCAACTTAACCAACGTTGGAAATCGAAACAAAACTCTCTGGAATCTAATTTCAGACTGGAAGCCGCTAACAACAGAAAAGGAAAAGTATCATTCGATAACAAAATCTGCAGACCTACTCGTAACTCTACTCCACGCTTGGCTAGAAGATCCGAGAGAAGTCAAAAAGTTCTTAGTCGAACTGGAACTATGGTTCAACCGTCAGAATGGAAAAATCAACACTCTTTGGATCAAGGGGCCTCCGAACTCGGGAAAGACGATCTTCTCGTCTATGATAGTCGATATCGCGAAGAACGTGGGGGTTCTCCATTCTGGGGACGCCACGGCCTTCCAGTTTATGAGCTGCATAGGCAAAGGAATTCTCTACGGCAACGAGTTCTCTCTCAACATGGAAACCAAAGAAATATTCAAACTCATACTGGAAGGACAACAAACGAAGATAAAGGTAAAAATGATGGGCGACCAAGTCCTGGCAGGAACACCGGTGCTGTTGTGCTCGAATAACGAAATCATCAGAAACGACAGCACCCATCGTCAAAATCGGGATAGTGGTTGTTGAGCATATTTGCAAGCGTGTGATATGTATACATTGTATCAAGCGAACCAGACAATGCGTCTAGACAATACATCTGCAGTGTAGGCCTACTTGTCTGTGCACATCTGTGAATCTGTTTTCATGTTTTTATATAATAATTACATTACATATTACTATAATTTGGCGAATGTTGTATGTATGTATGTATGTTAATGAAAGGCTCCGTCAGTTTGGATCCAAATAGCGCCAAATTTACAGAAGAGTTCGATCAGTACACGGGACGGGTTCTAAACTATACTCGGTTGAAAACCGTAAAAACGGCTTAAAAAAGACAAAAAACAACAAAAAAAGTAAACATTTGCCTGAAAATAGGGGGCGCTGTTTTGTTTTCGTTCTGTGTGTCTGTGTGTCTGAGATTTTTGTAAGCCCCATAATGTAAGTAGAAATAACCATGTAATAATGAAGTTAAATATTCAGTAGCTATTTGGTCATAGTTTCCCATATGAGATGTACAAGTTGAATTTCATCAGAGCAGATTTTTTTTTTGGAAGTCTTCAATGCTGTACGGGTGTCGTGAACAGCGAGCTGTCACAAGCGGTCCGATCACAAGCACGTAATATTACGTCGTCCGCACAGAGTGCAAACATGCGTAGAAATAAGCGATCACAACCACGCAATATTACCCTACCTGGTCCCGTCCACACACAGTGGAAACATGCGAAGCACGTAATATTACGTGCTACGCAGCCAAGTGGTTAATCAGTTGCCCGACCAGCCCATTCAGATCTATCTATATTCTAACTTTGGAGTCCGTATCATCAACCAGTAGTTCCTACATAGCATACAATAAAACATTTGTGTGTGCGCGTGCATGCGTGCGTGCGTGCGTGCGTGTCTGTATTTCACTGTGTACTTGCCAAACAAATGGTTAATGTGTTACGTGTAAGCATGATTGTACATGTATTTGTATTGACATCTCAACCATAAAAAAACAAACATGTGCAACAACTAAACTCTCCATATAACACCTTACACATAACACTACTGTACTGGTAACACATGCATCACAGTCACTAAGCCCGCGCGTAGCGCGGGTTTCAGCTAGTATTAATAATTTTCAAATGCTATTATTGCATATTTCAAGATTTTGGATACCAACATTGTTGAAATTACTATCCAAAAAATGGTATCCCGAATGGATACCGAATGGATACCATAATAAAAATCTAATTTCGACCCCTGCCGAGGACCAGTTAACTATCTCAATAGCGTGTGCCAACATTGTGTCACAGCTAGGCACCTAGACCTGACACACGACAGTGCATCGTTAACTGTTGTGCGTTGTGCGTTGCGTCAACTACTCTCATGCGCTAGGTGTGACGTGCCAAGCGTTGCCTCATC